CACCCCAACAGTGCCATCCTGGGCATCCCTGGAGCAGTGTCCAGGCTCTCCTGTAGCTCTGGCAGTCTCAGGGCCATGGGAGCCTGGGCAGTGCCCAGCACCCTCTAGAGGAAGAACCTTGCCCTGATCTCCAGCCTGGCACAGCTCCAGCCATTCCCTGGTCCTGTCCCTGTCCCAGAGAGCAGAGATGGGAGCTGCAGCCTTTGGTGAGGTCTGACCTCAGTGTGCTCTGCTCCTTTGGACACTCCCTGACAGCTTTACATCTCTTTTATATTGTGGTGCCCCCAAGGCAGGAGGTGAGGCTGCCCCCAGTGCAGAGCAGAGGGAGGGTCACCCCCTCTCCAGCCAAGGGATGAGGCTGCTCCCTCATGTGCCACAAGTGCCTGGCAGGGCAAACCCTGGGATATTTCCCTGCTGCTGCAGGGGGTGGTTGGTGACCAGCTGCTCCTTGCCCGTGTCCCCCTGGCCTGCAGAGCTCCGAGCACAACATCCTGGTGATCGGCGTGCCCAACGTGGGCAAGTCCTCGCTCATCAACTCCCTGCGGAGGCTGCACCTCAAGAAGGGTATTCCTGCACGGTGCCAGGGCTCGGGGGGCAGCTGGGCACTGTGCCACCGTGTCCCTGACTGTGTCTGTGCCCCCAGGCAAAGCCACTGCGGTGGGAGGAGAGCCAGGGATCACCAAGGCAGTGCTGTCCAGGATCCAGGTACCGTCCCTGCATGCAGGAAAGCTCCAGGCTCACTGAGGGGTTGCTCAGGTCCCCTTTGCAGCAAGAGCTTAACTCAGGCTCAGTGCCTCGCTCATTAGCCCTGTGGTGCTAACTAGCAGCCCTGCCTGCCCGTGCCAGGTGTGTGAGAAGCCCCTGATGTACCTGGTGGACACCCCCGGCGTGCTGCCCCCCCGGCTGGGGGATGTGGAGACGGGCATGAAGCTGGCACTGTGTGGTGAGGCTGGGGTCACACTGCTGCTCACACCCCCTGTGTGTGAGGGCTGGAAGGAGGGCTGGCCAGGGCTAGGCAGGGCTGAGGGAAGCTGGGGCTCGACTCTCTTTTCCAGGAGCCATCCGTGACCACCTGGTGGGGGAGGACATCATGGCCGACTACCTGCTGTACACTCTGAACAAGCAGCAGCAGTTCAGGTGAGCCAGCAGGGAAGGGTGCCAAGAGGGTCATGGAGATGCCATGGGTGATGGAGATGCCCTGCCCAGGGAGTTTTGGGGGTGTGAGCCATGTCCTCTGGCAGGTACGTGCAGCACTACGGGCTGGCCCAGCCCTG